TGACCTTTCTGATTATAAAATCAAAGCGTGAATTCTTTAAAAAAAACGCCATGAGTAAAAGGCAAGTATTCATACATGTACACGCATACAATTTTATAGTATTTTATATTTATAAAAAATCAAGAAAAGACTATTATTTTTTTAAATTTTTTTATCAATATTTACAAATATAAATTTTTTTTTTTATTTTTCCAATCTATGTTTTTATGTTTATGTCTATAAATACTCATTAATATATATTTATATCAAGTATTTTATTTATAATTGCAATTGTAAAGTGCATAAAGCGTAATTATTTTGCATTGAGAAAATCGTTTTTTATTTATTTTTTCTGCTTTTTATGTATTTATTTATACAAAAATAAATACTTATTATTTCATTCACATCAGTTGAGTCGCTTTTGTTGTAAATGCGACTATTGTTGAATAATCAAAGCCTAACTACTCAACTGATCTTGCTAGTTCACATATCATACATACTTGAATAGTGCTAGAGCATTTACCCACGTGTAGAGCAGGTATGTAACTGAATATGACTTGACTGACTGATTAAGTAAGTGATTAGTTCGTAAATTATAGTGTTCATTAGACGCTATTAAATTAAAAATATGCTATAAAGTAAAGAAAGGGAAAGGAAGAAAATTATAAAAAAAATTAAAATCCAAAAATATTTAAAATCAAAATCTAATTAAAAATAAGCAGAAAAAGAAAAATAGTTAACTTCAGCTGCATCGAAGCTATAATACCCGCCACAGGTACATTTTTTATAGCATAGAAGGGTACACAAAAAAAGTTTATCCTCTTTTTGATCGATCAGTTTGCATGGCAGCTATGTTTATGCTAAAGTTTGCAATGTTTTCGGAGATTGTAGCGCTGCCTTAAGCAATAATTCGAAGTGTGCAAATTTTTATTTATTGGTATAATTTCCGACGTTTCCTTAAAGGAAACTGTTATAAACTTCAAAGTAATCCACCTCGGATAAAATATAATTGTGCCAACGCTTTTTCCAATCCTCGAAGCTTTCCTGAAATACGCTTTTCGGTATAGTCATCAGCCCTTTCTTCGATTCTGACTTAATCTCATCAATTGTGGCTAAACGTTTTCTTTTCATTGGTTTCTTTAGTTTTGGTGGTAGGAAAAAATCACAGGGAGTGAGTGAGGCATGATTACGGGTTTTTGGCCTCGTGAGTGATACTAATTCGACATTGCATTTGCTCAAAATTTAGCCATTTCGGAACAAACTTCGCTGCCACACATTTCATGCCCAAAACATTCGAGAAAATTGAATGGCATGAGCTGATTGATATGCCGACATCTTCTGAACTTCCTTAATAGTGATACGACGATTTTCAAGAACAATATTTTTCACTGTTTCGATGTTTTCTTCGCTTGTGACGTGGTCGCACCACCAGGATGCTCATCGTCATCAACATCTTCTCGGCCTTCTGTTAAGTACTTTTACTACTTATAAACACTTTTTTGAGATATCACCGAATGCCACATTCAACATTTCAAATGCCTTGGAACATTTTTTTCCATTTCTAACGCAAAATTCAATACATATTCTTTGATCCTAATGCAAGCACATGGTAAACATATGTGTCCGATTATAACAAAAACAAAATATCGATAATCGATTGTACACAGCTCGCGAAAAATCAAAATTCACCTTTTCCTTTGAACACACCTCGTATATTGTTCAGGGTATAATAAGAATAATTGTAAGGAGTAATGATTATAGGATTCGTACAAATTTCAGACTGATAAAGTCCTTAGCTTTTCTATCAATTCAAGGCAGACGAAATGCTAAGTGAAAGTTTTTTAAATAATGCTTTGAATTTTTTTCGATCATGACTATGACACGTAAACTCGAAACAATCTCAACACAGTAGAGAATATTATGGACTATTCAGATACTTCAATTGAGCAGACGGACATTAAACCGGCATATCGAATGCTTCGTTAACACTATTATGTTGAAGGTTGCAAAGGCAGAAAAGAGGCGAGAAACAGGTATTGCAAGATCACCAGAAAGTTCAAAAATCTGAGCCATCAATGCTATAAGGGTATTTATGGGTCATCGACCTGTTGAAACTCATATGTGTCTTCGCACAAGCATACGCTCTTTTTTGGACCAATATAGAAGATGATGCTATGAAAACTCTTGACATCTTGTCATGGAATGTTGGCATCTTGGGATTATTAAGATGACTTCTTACTTGGCATCGGATACGTCTTCCTTTCCAATGGTGTCACAATGAATTTAGAGCCTTAAGGTGGTCGTCTATTTTCGCGTTTTTTTTTTGCATTTGTCTATTTGTAGACAACTATAAACATGCTCTGTACAGGATTTATTCGAAAGTATGTTAGTTTACGAGATATCGAGTTGCAAAGGCGGCTCCGTGGTGACTATTTACGTCAATTAGTCAACTCCAAACATGTTTTTTCAAAGGAAGTGATTTTTTTTAAGTTTTGTCAAAATTCTGACAAACTACTACTTGTTACTGACATTAAACATCTTGCTATGTCATGACACAACCTTTTTGTTCTGAAAATTGATTTTCGTTTCAAAATATTCGAACTGATTTAGGCGTAATCTGTTGCCCAGTTAAAAAAAGTATGTTCCCTTCTTCCGTAAGCCAGGCATCTAAACTGTTAAACCTCGAAAGAAGGAAATTGATAAACCTGACTACGATACTCCACATGAAGAAGATATATGATCTTTCTACACACTCATATTTTTATGAATGAAATTGTTGTATTATTTTATAGTAAGACATTCGTCAACAAAGACTTCAAATATTTTTTATTACTCATATACATATGTATGTATGTAAGTATATCAAACATAACTTATTCATTAATGACGGTACTTATGTCACCTACTCTTTTGTGAGTACAGTTTGTATGAACTAGGTATGTATGTATTAATTCTAGTGTCGAAGTACAACTTTCTTTACTTTAGTTTCAATGTGTCATCCAAAACATCATCAAAGACTTTGCACTTACTCGAGATAAGAATGCTTGAGTCTTAATTGGCATTATATGTGTATTGATATATAAATATAAATATATATAGTACATATCTATATTGAATGTATGTGCGTATGTTTTGAGTAAAGTCAATGCAAAAATAATATTTATAGATCATTAAACTTTGAAAAGTAGCGTTAAGAGGGTAATGGGTTTATTTGAGAAACCCGTTTTACTGGAAAGTCAACTTTAAGCACAAAAATATGGCAAGAATCAAGTATCACAACAATTATCCCAGTTAACCTTAGAGACAAGCTTAATGACTGTCATATATATAATATATAAATATGCATATATGTATGAATATTTGTATTGTATGCTAGAATATTTATATGCCGAAAACATGTATAACAATATTTATTTATAGTCTATATACCTCTATATACATAAATATCTGAAAACAATGCATGCAAAGACCACAGCTTTTCGACTTTTTGGACTCGGTTGCAAGGTGTCAGCCAGTATGCCACTTTTAGTCGTAACCGCTATTTGCAAAATCAACAACACCTTCACCATACTGGCGTATACATACATACGTACATATGTATTTCACTACAAGATGTACAATGTAAGTCGGAGAAAATTAATTGCGCAGCCGCACAGAGCATCTAAAGCAAAGTTAATGATTTTTTGATATACTTTTTAGTGCTTAAAATTCACAGATATCTGCTTAAAAGAGGTAATGCTCTACAGAGATAGATATTAACAAATCAAACAATAAACTCAAAGGGAGCCAAATCTGGCAATTACGGTGGCCGAGCAATGACTGACAAAAAGTCAGTCACAATAGAGCTAGAATTTTTGGCGCATTCAGATATTTTACATACCTGAAATATTAACCAAAATGTGTTAAATCGATCCTTAAAATATGTTTAGGCCCGCTGTTATCTCTCTGATGCCAACACAAACATTTTTAAGCATTGCCTCTTTAACTGGTTCGACGTTGTTGTCATTAACAGAGACGGATGAACTACTCGCATAAGGCCAGTTTTGATGACTTCACGACCTTTACTGAATGTTTTGTGCCACTCAAATACTTTTTTCAAGATAAAGGATATTTCTCAAAACCCTTCGACAACATTTTCAACTATTTGGTGACCGTGATTCCATTGGAAACACAAAATTTCAAGCATATTCTTTGTAATTTTTTTTATAATGAAAATCGCCAGATGAACTTTTCGCGTTGTAAACAGCTGCCGAACCCACACCAATTGATATATGGAGATCAAATTACACACGAACTTAAATAAGGCTGTACCAACCTAGGGACTTGTTTTTATTGTTTCGGTTTGTGAGATGTTGGTTTGAGTGGAGCTGTGCTTTGACATTTCACCAGAATTGAGAACTTCAAGGGAAGCAGTGTTCCTGATATCACAAAGTAGATTTTATGGAGAGTATTAAGTCAAAACTTAAGGTGCAGAAAGTGAGAGAGAAGCAGTAGAACTAAAAACTTAGAATGTAATTTTTTATAAACGGTATACCTGATGGATTTGACCACCAATAACCTAAAAATAATGTCTGATTAGTTTTGACTTCATTAATTTGCCAAAAACAAAAAGCGAGAAGCAGAAATCTGATTGAGAGTGAGAGCAAGAAATATAAGAAAAAGCATGTAGAATTACGTAAATGTGTGACTTTATTTTGAATATTGTCTCTATTAAGGGCTTCCTAAAAGCCTTCGATGTTACGTCTGCGAATTACAGCATGGAAATGTAAGAAATTTCTAAAATACCAAAAAATTAAAGTAAACAAAACTAAAAATGTTCTACGATTGATTTGTATGTACAATAAATATAATAAAAACGTTGACTTCGTCTGGACCGACATTTTAATACCCACTGGTGCATTTCTTAAAGCATAAAAAGGTGTATACAGATCATTAAGTTGATTTTGATCGGTTAGTTAATATGGCAACTATAAGCTATAGTGGACCGATCTAAATGATTTTTTCGGAGATTGTGCCGTTACCTTGGATAATACTCCATGCCTGATTTCGTGAAGATATATGCTATAGAAGCTGGATATCGGCGCTTCCGACAAATGTAAGACCTTCTTGGGGATAAAACGACGTGTGCGAAATTTCAGATCCATATCTCAAAAACTTAGGGACACGTTCGAGTATATACAGACGTACAGACGGGCATGGCTAAATCGACTCAACTCGTCATGCTGATCGTTTATGTATATATTTTATAGGGCCTCCAACTTTTCTTTCGAGGAATATATTTGTATGTTAAAAAAAGTAAAAACAAAAAAGTGTAAGCTTTTTGGCATTGCCTCCGCTAAAATATAAACCCGTTATGGATTTATATATTTTATTTTTACATATACTTTATGACTTTTAGACGCTACGCGCAACTTGTTTTGTACTCCATCAAACACAAAAAGTGTGTATTAAATATGTGTGTACTATATGTATGAAAAAAAGTGGGCAGTGTAGTGGGGCAACTCACGTCACATCACGCTTCGATGTTACAGCTGCAATGTAAAACCAACGCCAGCCGACTTTCGTCACCAACACAGCGATCAGCGTGACGGCTACTGCCGGTGCAACCGTGACAAGCCAATTCATTGCGATTTTTTTATGCTTTCAAAATCAATAGTTTTCCACAACTTCTTAACCGTTTAGGAACAACCAAGCACAGAGTGATTGCAAAACGCACTTTCGAAAATGATTGAACGAGTAATTTGAACGAAAATTTAATACACGAATTATGTATGATTAATTAAATTAATTAACACCACGAACAAAACACACATCTACGGCAAACGTTGCTCGTACCAGACGTGTTCAGATGGACTAACTAACACGCAAATCAGCGAAAAATATTCATCCACCTTTGGAATGAACGAGCGAACCGCGCACAATGGCGTAACAGCAACGACTGAAGCGCACAGAAACCAAACGCGTCCATAGTAATGAGTAAAATATAATACAAATTCTGACGTATTGCTTTGTTCGCATATCGTTTGTTTGTATGTTTGGCAGTATTTCATATAAAAAAAACATTAGGTAAATAAATATAAAAAAAAAATAAGAAATAAACAAAAAATAATGTTAAGTAAAGTGCTTCAGAAGCTACCATACATCTATGTAATCAAAATACTTACAAACTTATGTGCTCCGCACTTCCAAATGTTCCAACACGCATTCACAGCCTCTGTGGAGGTCTTCCACACCCCGCCATTTAACAACTAATTTCATTCAGAAAGAGTCAACACAACCAATATTGGTATTGGTGTTATGCTCCCTATCTCTCTCTCTCCATCAGTCAGAACTCAGCGGTATACCTTTGTGCTTTACTCTTTATCGCTCAACGAGTTAGCTCCATAACGATCTTTTCAATTTTGTTCTGACACATGAATTCATAAATATTTGCATTGCAATTATCAGTGGAGCAGAGAGAAGTGCTCTCCAATGTATTGGAAATGTTACGCTCACAAACATTTAACAATCGGGGTATTCACAATCGGGGTATTCACAAGTGGTTGAAAAGTTTAATGTTAGCAAATAATGATAACAAATAATGCTCTAAGGTCTAAAAAACAAGATTACTTTTGCATAAGAGGTTATATCCACTAGCAAAACAAAAAACACGTTCTTCGTGAATTTTTAAGGCATTTAATTTAATAAATAAGTAAAAATAAATAAAAGTAGTTTAGGTTTGCAGACTTAAATGGAAATGTTGGATTTCCTCGATCCCGTAGCATATTTCCAGGAGAACCTCCGGAAAAAAGTGTCTGACGGGGAGGAAGTTTTGTCGCTTAAAATTATCTCAAAACCAAAAACAAAAAAAACAATGTATTTATTTCTACAATAGATGAATACAGAGAAAGATTGAAGAACTAGTAAAAGTTTTGATTTTTGACAAAATGGCGGCTTTCTAAAAAAAAATCTAAATTATTATCAAACAATTCCTTTTTTCGATCATTACCTGCCAAATATATCTAAAACGGTCGTTGATCGGTCCAGCCGTTTCGAAGAAGAAACTAAGTTTCGAAACTAAGTTTATGCCTAACTATGCTCAAAACTCTGTACATTCGATATACTATAAGCAAAATAATTTTATTTTTTATAAAAAATTGTATAGGAAAAAAAATTTCCTTAATGCAAAAAATCGGCTTCGGAGAAACAGAACCACGTTAAAAATGATCAATAAAAAATCCGACCCATGTTATTTTGGAGGTGACAAAGTCAAGGAACTTTTCAGCGCACGGGATTCAATTTTTTCAATTTCAAAACATATTGTATGAAAGTCGAAGAATGTAACAATTAAATTTAAAAAAAATGTCTAAATATGTTTTATAGATCCTCTGAAATCGTTTCTCAAAAATAAGCTCGAATTTGAGGTGCAAGTGTAAAGAACCCCCCAATGTTGAAAATACAGCTTGTCACAGCAGTTCTTTGAGGGAAAATAGAATAAAATAAATTTTGATAAGAAAAAATAAAATCAGGAAGCATATCAAATCTATTATAATGGCAATAAAAAACAATTGATATTACTACCATACCCTCAGTATCGGGACCCAGTTAACCACTGAAACCGCTTCCAAAGGTTTCGTATAACTAAATTCCACTTGGCGAGAAGACAGTTCCAGTAGCATTCCAAAATCATTCGAGATATTAAATCATGAGGTCAAAATTAAAAAATAGGTTCCGGATGTTAGTGTCCACTCAACATTTTAATTAAATTTCAGTGTAAATTTTAAAGCTCTCTCAATTACCACTCGACAGAAGTTGATACCTATCTCAGTTTCAGAGCTAAATCAAAATAGTTTCTGCTTTTTTTTTGTAAACGTTGGCAACTCAGCAAACTAGAAACTTGGCTCTTTGTAGAAATGATATAAGACTATCTCCCAAGTAAATTCAAGGCAACTTATTTTTTAACCGATTGAGAAGTGTGTACTACTGATGATATGTATGCCATAAAAGTAAGATGTCAAAACATCGACTAAAAAAATACATATATTCAGAGTTACTTTTGACACACACTATCAGTCAGTCTACTAAATATTGGTATTCTAAGCCGATTCCTTATATGGCAGTAAGCAATGCTTAGCAGGATTAAACATAATAATCTGTATAATTTGCCAACAGTACCGAAACGGTCTGGACTTACTTGGTAGATCAAATTTCTCTCAGAACTTAAGTGACCAATATATGAATAATTCGATATTTAAGGTAAAATTTAGGGATAACTGAAACTTTTTTGATTGGAAGGGTTGACCGCTGTAACTCAGTTAGGTCATTTCACCGAGTTTGCCTGCTGGTTTTCGTTATTGGACAAACAGTCAGGTTGCGTTTGGATACATTATATTGTACGAAAGATTTCGTCCCATATGATATTGTCTAGTGATGGAAACTATCGAACTACATTTTCGTTCCTTACAATTTTTTCGTTCTTTACTAGTTTTCATTCTTTACTAATTTTTTATTCATTACTATTTTTTCGATTTTGAACAATTTTCGAATGAATGATTTTTCAAAAGAATAATATTTTGTGTATGCAAGTGAATTTTTAGCAAAGCTATTTTGTACAAATTAATTTATTCGTTTTCAAGGGCTTCACATACTGTTAACAATATTATATTCAGCCAATGTACGAATAATGCTTAAATTGTGTGTATTTCAAAACTATGTTGAAAGATTTATGTAAAATTAAATTAACTTTATGCTTTAAATAGATTTAAGTGAAAAATATTATTATTATGAATAATGTAGGGGCCATCTCCAAGTAATTAAGATGACTTAAGTAGATTCATGTGGTCATCGGTCATTGGCAAACTATATTGACATTTTGGTTGGTAAAAATTCCAATGGTTTTGAATTAAACAAGTTGGCAACTTGGTCATGTATTACGATTCGAAATTGTAATTATGTATACATGCACTTAAACGTTTTAACTGACGGTAATATTTGCGTCAACAATAATGAAACATTCAAATTGGATCTTAACTTATATATATTATACAATATATGGGTTTAATATTTTCAATTGCAATATTTTCTGTTGGAATCTCTAGTAATATGAAATTTATATATTTTATAAAGAAAGTGCTGAACATATTTTTTATATTATATATAGTTGAACCAAACTTAAATGCGGCCAGGATTAAAGAGATCAGCAGTGTGGGAGTTTTTTAGTAAAAGTGGTAATAATGTCAACTGTAATATTTGTAAAAAAAATTTAAAGTTTTCTGGTAATACATCAAATTTGAATGATCACCTACAATGAAGGCATCCATCATCACTTAGTGTGGAGGAGACTTCTTCGGCGATAGTCACCCGAGCACCTGCTATAAGCAACTTAGATATGCCAATGGAAAGAGATGTGAATTCAGAAGTATTAATGGAAATTTTTAAAGAGATTTAAGTAATGCTTCTTTGATATCAAATGCGAATGTGGAAACTGCGACAAGTTCTTTAGCAATACCTAATAGATATGTTTCAGGTGGTGAACTCCTTGTATTAAAAAGAATGCAAACAAAGTTATTTGTTACAAGCACGCCATCTGAGCTTTCAGAAACTGAAAAAAGAAGTATCGATGAATCTCGATAGCTTCATGACCTTTTTCAAAATATTTCACACATTTCTATAACGACAGAGATGTGGACTTTTGACAGCCAGAACTGTTTTTTGTCTGTTAATAGTCATTTTATTTAGGAAAACTCTGCAGTCCTGTTAACTAAAGAAGTGTTCGGCTCACATACTGCGCAAAATATAGCCACAGAATTAAAAAAACATTTTTGACATTTTGACGATATCAAAAAAGCGATAAGGGATATCTTACAAAAACACCACCAACCATGTGTGGCTCACACCCTAAATTTATGCGTTGTTAATGCCATAAAAGCTGTCATTTCAGAGAGCTTATAACGAAATGCAGAGCTACGTATAGTAACATATTATATCATCATATCTCTCAAGCAGTATAAAAACTTAAAAACCTGCAAAAGAAAATGGGTGTGCCTGAACATAAGATGAAGCAAGATCCTACTACTAGATGTAGTTTTGGCCTTCTCACGATGGAACGTATACGCTTGATAAAAAAACTGCTCTCTGCTGTAATAACTTCCTTACCAAATGCACCGATATTTCTGAATGCATCAGAATGGGAAAGATTGCTTGGCTCTATCAACGTATTGAAGCCGAGGTAACAGCTTTAATACAATGAAATGGAAGGGATTTTACAGTCCCAGTAATAGAATTACCCGTGGATAAAAGTATATTATCTCTTTGAACTCTTCTTAATAAAAAAGTAGCGATTAGCCACAATTAGTGTTAATGCACATATTGCTTTAGAGCAATATCTTAGGCGAGATTTCCTGGAAAGAAATCAAAACCTTTTAAACTACTGGGACAGCAAAAAACCACATTTCCAGAACTCTACGAACTGTCAAAAAAAATTATGTACTATGAAGGGGTTTTCTCTAAAGTAGAAGTAATACTTGTAGACTAAAAGGTCAAAACCTTGACAAATAATATTTTTAAATGGCAATTTCGATAAATGATTAATATTATTTCTTGCATACTTTATATTTATATTTCATTTATTTTATATTGAATTTCTTAACTGCGTTTTACTATTTTTAAGTTTTACTAAAATATTGAATTAAATTAAAAATTGAATTGTTGTTTGAAGAGCACGACTTGGCCTTAGTTACTAAATTTGAATAAATAAGTGAATAAACGAAAAAATTAATTCGATAGTCAAAATCATTCAGTTATTAACTATCGATAGTTCTCAACACTAATATTGCCCTGTTATTCACTTGTCCCATATTGAATCAATAAATTGACTTTTGTTTTTCCTATTACATATCTTAAATAAATTAACTTCTTTCCGAGGCAAAGCAAAACGCAGTCTCAAAATTGTCTATTTTCAT